CCAGGGGGGAAATCAGGAGTTTAGTGTGACAGGTAATGATATTTAAAAGTGGATCTTCTTCAAACTGGCTGTACCCTGATGTTACCAGTATAGGTCAGTTACGTCAGGGATCAAATATCCTGGGATTTGAAAACTAACTTTAGGAAGCTAATAAACAGAGAAGGTCTTTTCAGCTGGATTTCACCAGGGTGCTCTCACTGAGGACTCCGAAGCCTGACTGTAGGATGCCCTGGACTATGAGCAGGCAAGTTTCGTATAAACAAGGGCCAGGAGTGGCACAGAGCTCTCAGTGGGGAGTCCCGGGACCTGAGCCACAGATTCAGGATCTTCCTGCACAGCAGCTGCTCCCGACACAGGTGAGTTCTCCGTCCCTGAGACAGAGTGCTTAGAATCGCAGTTGGTGCTCTCCCAAGGTTCTCTTTAATATATTTCATTTCCACAATTTTAGGGACTCTGTCTTAATTCATAGCATTTTTAGAATAGAGAAGCCAGTGTGTCCACACCTCGCCCCATAAGCTGATAAGCATGGTCTCTTAACTCTCTGCCACAACCTTTGGTAAAATTCACAAAGTGTGGCATCCATCTCTACCGATGAGCGGGATCTGAAGACCACTGGGGGTGGGGGGTGTTATATGTTGTTCCACTGCAGCAGCACACGACTTTCCTCACTACACATTAGATAAATGTTAAAAACTTTTGTGAATTTAAGTTTTTCCCTCTTTCTTTAAGCATTTCTTAGGATCAAATTGAGGACAAATCTCAATACTTCCCAGGGACAGAGCCAGCTCTATGTTTCCACCCCCAGTTGACGATGTTATCGGAGTTTTGTTCTCACTTCTGCCATGAGATTGACTTCAGTACAAGCCAACTTATAATGTGAAGCACGGAGAGAAGCTCAGAACTGTATTTAGTGCACAGGCATGACAATTGTCTTAACTGTGCACTTCATGTCCACTGAGACTATATATTTTCAAGACTTAATTGAAAACTTATAAAATTTATAAGTTTTTGATTATACATAGTTTTTCTTAACAAGTTGAAGGTATTCAGATGGGACCAAAGAAGTTTTCAGGAGAACTGAGAGGGAGGCATAGTCCAACTCTGAGATGGATGGGTACGTTCTATTTCATTGTATAAATACTTCACACACTCCCCTCCAGGGCTAGTGACAGTTCTGTCATTAAATCGTGTTCATTGTTATTATTGTGTATCCATGCACACACACACACACACACACACACACACACACACACACACACACACGTGAGAGGACAGTGTTGTGGAGTCTGTTCTCTCACTTTTACAAATGTTCTGGGTACCAGACGCAAGTCCTCAGGCTTTCAGAGGATGTGCTTTGCCCATTGAGCCATCTTGCTGGCTCCAGAGATGTTTTTTTCAGTAATTTCCTTAAGAACAGTAGTTGGTTAAGTACTCCATTTAAACTACCATGTTTTATTAAAAACAAAGCTGTAAGACAAATTAAGCCCCTATTTAAAAAAAAAACTGACTGGGAACTTTCTTGGTCTAAGACAGTGGTTCTCAACCTCCCAAATGCTGATACCCTTTAATTCAGTTCCTCATGTTGTGGTGACCCCAGCCATAAAATTATTTCATTGCTACCTCATAACTGTAATTTGCTACTGTTATGAATCATAATGCAAATATCTGATATGTGACCCCTAAAGGTCTAAGAAATGTGCTTGACTTCAAAGCACTATAATCACATGGATACACTCCAGATGCAGAGTCTGCCGGTAGATGAACAAGACCATTTTTCCACACTGACTCCTGACAGTATGGTATATACCGACTGGGCTTTCCTGTCATTTAAACAGCAAAAGTATGCTGGTTTTCCTTGCTCAGAGCAGCACAACTGTAATAATCTTATATCGTTTTCATCTATTTGTGAGTCCACAAAAATGCTGCTCTGACGACATGCATGTCTCATTCCAGCACTCAGGAAGCTGAGGCAGGAGAGTGGCAAGTTCCAGGGCAGCCTGGGCTACGTAGCAAGACCCAGTCTCAAAAGTAAACAGCTAAAGTCAATTATTCTTTTCTATAATTTTTTAAAAAGGATATTTTTGGTAGTAAAACAGTCCCCACTTGAGGTTATATGTGACAGAGCAAATAATCTATCTGAATTCAATTTGTCAATTATTTGAAGGTTGATTTTCTGTCTAGCCTGGGCATTCAAGAGCCTATTGTTGATTATCTATTTCCTTTTTGATTGAGACAATGAATAAGAGCAGCGTATGTTTTCAGCACACAGGATAACAGGGTACAAAAAATTGCAATTCTTTTGATCTCCAAATTTAGATTGCATTTTAGTCTTTGAAATCACATTATTATATTCACCTGAGTAAATATCTTTGTCATAAATGGCACATTATAAGATTTTGTTTGTTATCTGATTGTCTCTAGACTTAAAATAACTTAAATTTGAAGCATAAATAATAGCTCTGTGACAATATAAACATTTTATTGACTTTTAGAAGCTAATACTTCTGTGAAAGTGTAGGGAAACTCTCATGAATACTAAGTGTTCAAGCATCAGAGTGACTTTTATTAACTACAGTCACATATGATTTCTCTGGCGTCAGAAGAAATCCATAAAACATGAATGACATGAGAGTCCAAGGAGACATTGGAAATGTTCTTATTTTATTAAAACACAGGAGAAGATCCATTGTAAGTTAGTTCTGAGATACATCTTTTTTTCTTAAAGATATTCAAATATGACACATATATTTTCATATAACTGTAATAGTTTTTGTGGTTATGGGAACCAATCTTGAGGTTTCACACATGGAAGATAAACACCCCACCATGGAGTTGCATGACTGGCCCTAGAAAAATACTCTCATTTAAACTTATTTTATAATCTCTCTCTCTCTCTCTCTCTCTCTCTCTCTCTCTCTCTCTCTCTCCCTCCCTCCCTCCCTCCCTCTCTCATATGTCTGTTTTTGTGCCTGTGTTTATGTGTGTATGTGTCTGTGTCTATGTGTGTATATGCCTGTGTGTGTATTGCCTGTGTCTGTGTAGAAGGGAGGGTCTCATAGGTGTCACAGTGTTTGCAATGCTAGCACATAGTAATATCAAATTTACAATGATCATAGATGCCATTCCTGTACTAATAACTCCTAGCCTTCCCAGGACTGCACTAGTGAAACACAATCCAGCATCTAAGAAATGGTAATTCATGTTCTAGCATTACAAACAGATGACATATGTTTAAAATGGTGCATTATAATAACTTGAAATGTGTGAAATAGGTTGAATATGTATAACTATGACAGGCCACTGTACATGTCACAAAATATATAAGAAATATTTTTAGTTTAAAAATATTTTCTTCTTCTTTTTTTAATAGAGTCTCACTGTGTACCCTTGGCTGTCCTGGAACTCACTTTCTAAACTAGTCCAATCCACTTGCCTCTGCCTCCTAGGTGCTGGAATAAAAGGTGTGCACCAGAACACCCAGTGAGAACAAAATTTCACATGCAGTTTTTCTGGTTAGCCCAAAGGTTAAGGAGGTCAGAGTTTTTCTGCCTCAGCATCAAGACATGTGTGATGTCTAACTACTAACTACTAACACTCTGGCAGTTCCATGAATAATATCTATTGTTACACCTGACACTTAAGTGTCAAAATAAGGAGATGAAAACACACATATGGGTGGGTGTTCTGGCGCACACCTTTAATCCCAACACCGGCGAGGCAGAGACAGGCAAATCTCAGTGAGTTATAAGCCAGTCTGGTCGACAAAGCGAGTTCCAGAACAGTCAGGACTGTTACACAGAGAAATCCTGTCGAAAAGCCAAAGAGGGAGAAAGAAAAGAAATCTGCATGGACCAATTGCCCTTCTCATCAGGGGAGTGTTAATAATGTGAGGCATGGTGCTGGGGCGTGAAGCAGCTGCCGTCATCTGTGGTCATCATTACATGTGCTATAGGACAATAGGGTCTCACACATGGAATAGAGAAATTCAGCCGTGTGTGTTTCCTTTAGGGCAAAGAGTTCTGCCTTACTCTCATATGGAGCTCCTTGAATAGATATGTAAGAAAGGTGCAAAGGTCATGAGTTGGGTCACAGCAGCATTCACAAATGTACAAGAGTTTAGGATTCTCCCAACTGACAAATACCAAACTGTAAGAAATTGAAATCATGTAACAATGCTTCTTAATGTCATGATTAATATAAGTATTGGGTTAAAACACATGGGCAGTAGACTGTGCATTCTGTATGTTTCATTTAATTCAGTTGAAAGTTAAAATATGGTGAAATAAATGTGGATAATGCAGAAGTATGTGTATGTGTGTATGTCATGATGTGGTAGGGGTATGATGTGTGTGGCACTCTGTGTTTATGTGTGTGTGTTATGGTGTGGTGGGGTTTTGGTGTGTGTGACACTGTGTGGGGGGGGGCACTGTGTGTGTGTGTGTGTGTGTGTGTGTGTGTGTGTGTGTGTAATACACACTCATGTATGTGGGTTCACGGGCAGGCCAGAGGAGGGTGTTGATGTCCTCCTGTATCAGTCTCTGCCTTACTTCTTTGAGGCAGAGTCTCTCCCTGAACCATGCTCTTGCATTTGGAAGGCAAGGTTGGAGCCAAAGACAACGAGAAGCCCTTTGGTCTCTGCCCATCACAGAGCTAAGCTACAGACTCATGAGGACCACACCTAACTTTTTATGTGAGCTCTGAAATCCAAATTCGTATCTTCAAGCTTGTGTAGCAAGTGTTTTTACCCACTTATTCATAACCTCAGCATCAGGTTGCAGAAAAGAATTATTTCACTAAGTTGAAATATTCTGACATTTGGACAAAGATTTTAAGGATGTTGGAAGTCACTTTTTAAAAAAAAAGTCATTTTCAGACCAGGCATGGCGGCATGTGCCTTTAATCCCAGCACTGGGGAGGCAGAGGCAAGCAGATCTCTGAGTTTTGAGGCCAGCCTGGTCTACAGAGGTAGTTCCATGACAGCCTATCTCAAAAAAAAAAAAATCCTCCTATCTTCCAGGTTTGACCAGAGTCATGGAGCTTCCCAGTAACACCACAGCGTTGGACTTCATTCTTCTTGGGCTCTTCAGCCACACGCAAGTCCACCTGTTCCTGTTTTCTGTTGTGTTAGTAATCTTCACGGCCTCCCTGATGGGGAACGCCCTCATGATCCTTCTCATCTGCAGGGACCCCAGGCTCCACACGCCCATGTACTTCCTTCTCAGCCAACTCTCCCTGATGGACATGATGCTGGTCTCCACCATCATCCCCAAGATGGCAGCCAACTACTTGATGAGCATGAGGTCCATCTCCCCTGCGGGCTGTGGCTCCCAGATCTTTCTGTTTCTCACCCTGGCAGGGGGCGAGTGCTTCCTCCTGGCAGCCATGTCCTATGACCGCTATGTGGCTGTATGTCAGCCCCTGCGCTACCATGTCCTCATGAGCTCCAAGCTGTGTGTGCATCTGACCTTGGGCTCTTGGTTCCTGGGAGCCACTGATGGGTTGATGCAAGCGGGCACCATCTTGAGTTTCCCCTTTTGCCACTCTCGAACCATCAACCACTTCTTCTGTGAGGCGCCTTCTCTGGTGCGCCTTGCCTGTGCCGACACCAAAGTCTTTGAGTTCTTCATGTACATTTGCTGCGTCCTTATGCTCCTGATCCCTCTGTGCCTCATCCTGGTTTCCTACTTCCTCATCCTGGTTGCAGTACTCCACATGCGATCCTCAGCAGCCCGGAAGAAGGCCTTTGCCACCTGCTCTTCGCACCTGGCTGTGGTGGGGCTATTCTACGGGGCCATCATGTTCATCTACATGAGACCTAAGTCCCATCAGCCGGGAGAGCGTGACAAAGTGGTGTCTGCCTTCTACACCATCTTCACGCCGGTGCTGAACCCCTTCATTTACAGTGTGAGGAACAAGGAGGTCAAGGGAGCCCTGAGGAAGTGGCTGCAGAAGACAGTGTGATAAACGTGCAGAGGAAAGGTCACCAAAACAGCCCTACTCAGCTTAGGCACACCTCACTCACTAACTCAGCTGATCTATTCCATTGAACTCACTCTTTAATGTTTTATTAACATATATGATTCTCATTTGTTATTTTATATTCTCTATTTTACCAAGTGTTTGGAAAATAGATGTAATATCAACTTGCCCTGCCAATGTCCCTTGGGCTAGCTGCTCTGCTTGTTTTTAAATAAGGTCTTAGAGATGAGAGCCAGTGACACAGGTCTGTTAGCTAGACTTTAATAATATAACTCAGTTTCCATTATATAATATAAAACATAAAAAGAAAAAGAATAAATGGACAATAACTTTCAAAAATGTAGTGCCGAATTGATTGTTATTACAAAGTAAATTGGAATGAAATACATAACCAGTAAGAATTATTCAACATAAACATAATTGCATAAAACATATGTCAAAATGTTTCAGGGGAATTTTCCAAAATTATTTGCAATTTAAAGAATTCTTAAAAAGGAGATGGGCATGTATGGCTTTAAGATTGTATCTATATCTAACATCTTTAACAACAAAACAAATATCACTGACCAAAAAATTAAGAATCATAATAAGATTTCCAAATCTCTATTTTAAGGGTGTTTAAAGAAGGGATCTTTAAGAAGTGGTTAGGCCCCAGGGCTCCACTGTCATGGTGGGAGAGCATTTGTGCCATTATTAAAGCGCTAGTTTGCTCAGTATGACAACAAAACCAGCCATCTAGGCACCTGGGAAGCTGATACAGGAGAATCGTAAGTTCTAGGGCAGCTGGATTACATAAGACCCTGTCTCAAGTAATAAAACAAAATAATAGTGAGTTTGACCATTTCCATACCAAAAAATAAACAAAACCCACAACTCACCTCAAAATGAGTAAGAGAGAGTTTATTCTAGAGCCAAATATGAGTGGCCACAGCCCCTCCAGTCCCATGTTCCAACATGGTGCCAGTTTTGTGAGGTTTTTATAGTAATAAAGCAAAGAAAATTTAAAAATTAAGAAACCTTTCAAATACATTTTGGGGAAGTAGCAGGTAGGCAGGTTCCAGTGAAGGTTACAGGGACATCTCAGGTACAGGCTCACGTGCTATCTGACAGCGTTCTTGGTCTGTTGGAAGCCAGTTCTCTGCATATCCCAAAGGATTTTCTTAGCAGTCATTCTTATGTTAGGTCACAAACAGGTGAAGACTAAAGATTACCAAAGATCATTTGGTTCTTGACTCGCAACATTCCAATCCCTCCACAATCACTGATGTGCCAAACAGTCAGGCCGTCTTCAAAGTTCAGGCCATTCCAAATACAGCCCCCTCTTCCATTGTCAGCCCCCTCTGGCCTTGGCGTGTCTTTCCACCATCTGCTAATAGAGAATCTGGCCCCTGACAGGTGCAGGACCCTTGAATTTAGACTTTCCCCCATTGCAGAACACTGGAGAGCGACCATTCTTCTTTGGTACCCAAGAAATGGTATCCTGTTGTGACATCAGAGAATGGAGAGACACGCCAAGTACAGGCGTGTTAAATAACACATCAGATGCAAAAGGAAAGGAAGGGAGATACAAACTCTAGGAACTTCCACAGCGGCAAACTTCACAGTTCATCGCCCTGTTGACTGCTTTGAGCCAACTTTCGGCCTCAGTGCTTGTCAAAGGAAGGACAGGAAAGTTTTCTTGAAGAGAGGGTTCACAATTTGTTTGTATGTTTGCTGTGTACCAGTTTTTCTACCAAGCACTTACACCATTCAGCAAAACAAAAGCACACTGAGAAAGCCACATCCTTGGATTTCAGGAGAGGATGACCCTGGGGCCACTCTGTATAAAGTCAGACAGACCTACCCCTTTGCACAGTCCCTGCTTGTCCCCCAAACTGGAAATTCTTCCTCTCCTACATCTTTAACATTTGAATACTGAATTTAGGGTTTCCATGAGAACATGCTCTTGGTGTGTGAATACAGAACCGTTTCCAACCTTTTTCTGGTGTTGGTGCTCCCAGGAACTCCTCTATTTTGGTGAACTATTGACCTTTGTTATCTGTTTTTGCTGTGCCCCAGCAAAGCACCCACCTCCATGTCCTAAGGAAGTGGCTGTGAACAGTATCTGGGCTGGGATATGTTTCTGCCATGATGCACATCTTTTCCCCTTCAATACTTAAAAGTCCCAACTCCCCAGAGTTGCTTAGGATGTAGGAATCTGCCAGTTCTTAGATAAGCCCCTCTCAAGGTTTTTGCTTATTGGGAAGAACTGCTAAGACCAACGTCACAATCCATTTCTGGGAACAAACCACAACCTTGCCGCAATGCTAAAGCCCAAATGAATGACTACTGAGAGACCCTCAGAGCCTGTCCCCTAACTTCCTCAGGAGTTTAACCCTGGGCATCAGAGTTCATTTTCACCATTTGCTTAATTCCTCTTAATTCTTCTTTAGGTGTCAATCCTGAGAGGTCTTCCCAGCTTCCTGGATCCCCATCCTTGTATGTGTATCCTCCATGAATCCCAGGAGCGCCTTCTCCAAGTGAGAAGGCAAAAGTAGAGTATGAATCCCTTCCTCATTAAAGATGGCTAACCCAAGCCTCTGTGCTGTGCACTTGGCAAATACAGTCCATCCTCATGATGGTGACCTCGATACCCACCCTAGTCATACAGCCCTTATGGAACCCACACCAGATACTCACATGGGGTGTACCCTCGGCTCCCCAGAGTTTCTGAGCCCCATTCTTTCTCTTGCCAGTCTCTAAATGCCTCTACTCATCCTTGAACCCCTTAGACTCTCTCAGGACTTGATTTGATCATGCAACAGTGTCCATTCTGTGACAGGGTGGCATCACTTGATAGAGACCCCAGCACAGTAGTGGTCAGAACAGAAAGGGACATAAACTTCATCAGGAAGGACGGTCACTCTCCTGTAGAAAGCTTCTGAGCAGAATGTCCATGGTGCCCGGCTGTACTCACCTGAAGCCTAGGGGTTTTTGCTGTTTGTAATGTGGGCTTAAATTTAGCCTATACACCTTTGAACACTTCTAAATCCAAGTAGGATTTGCCGGTTTGATAAAGTTTCAATTTGATGAAAGACATCTAAGCAAAGAACTGAAGGAGTGGCTCAGTTAGTGAGTGCTTCCATCTCCAGCAACAGATAAACCCACTGTGGTGGCAATCCCAGCAGTTGGGAGAAAGAGGTAGAAGGATCAGAGGTTCAAGGCCAGGCTCTGCTACTAAGTTAGCTTAATAGTTCACTATTAAGCCAGCCTGAACTACATGACGCTCAGTTTTATATACGTAAATGAATGTTAAATTATGAAAAAAGCTGTACTTTAAATAAAATTAAATGGGAATTGCAGTTTACCAAATTGTCTTACATTTTTTAACCAGGTATATTTCCCTAACACATAATCCATGATAAATAATTTTGTTTTGTTTTGTTTTGTTTCCATTTATTTATTTACAGTTGTAGAATCTGAAGTCTCTATATAACAGTAAATAACTCAGAAATTGCAAGGCTTGCATCAAAGTTCCTAGGGTACCCAGCATTGGAAAACATCAAAAGCAAAGGATCATCTGGGTGGCATTCAGGAGGCAGAGGCAGGCATTGTTGTGAATTTGAGGCCAAACTGGTCTACAGAACAAGTTCCAGGATAGTCAGAGCTGTTACACAGGGAATTCAAAAAAAAAAAAAAAAAAAGCAAATGTCTGAGAAGTGTCATTGATATGAATACAGCCAGGAGATGCTGTCACTGTTATTAATGTTGTTTTAATGTTTTTTTGCTATTGTTGTTATTTTACTATACAGATTCAAAAATGCAAATATAAAATTAAAATATAACAGCCTCTTGCAAATGTACAGAAACAGGTGCATAAGACACAAATTTAGTTGTCTCAAACTGAGTCCAAGAAGAGAATAAACTACAGGTAATTCCCTCCACGAGCTTCATTTTATTTTTATTGCTGTTCTGACAATTGAGCTGGTCTGAATAGAAGACAGTTTAATCTTCCTATCTACTAAAGTCTGTGCAGCGAATACCAAAATCATGTGACAGCCTGGTTCATCCACTTGAAATTCCAATCCGTTTTCAAGGACATTTATTTACATTTCTTTCTCCTGAGCCATCCTCTGTCATTCCCATGATTCACAGCCTTATGAGATGTGTGGACAATTCACAATCTCTTGGGAATTTTTTTTAATTTCTCAACACAGTAAACACTTTTGGCCATTGAATTGTCACCTCGGCAGCTCTGGGGTATTGATAGGATAGCATTTGCAGCCCATGTTGGCATTGGGCCATCCTCATGACAGATCAGCCCATGCATTGATATAAGGGAGATGGAGGACTAGGTTAGATACACCTCCCCTCCCGTCCAGGTGGGGACATCCAGGTGCATCACAGAGGGTGCAGAGCCAACCTGCTAGACACCAGTTTTGACTCTTGCAGGTAGGTCATGGCAACCTTTTATATCGATTATTTGTGAAGTTTAACTCTAGAAAATACAATTCCAAATCCCAGAACTTGGGAGATGGAGACCGGAGAAACAAGGAGCCCTCGGCTACATAGAAAATCCGATCCCATCACTCTACATTTGACAGAGAAAGTCTTCCCGGTTATACATCTCAGTACTCAATGAACTAAAATGCACACAAGTGTGTGCTGACAATACATTAATTCCTTTAAAAGCAAACCCATAATTTTATCAATAAACAAGTCCTCTGCTACTACCTTTTTTTCACATGCAGGTTGATTTTCATTTCTGTTTCCTGAAGTGTAGACTTTTAAAATTGCATATTCACAATGAATTTGGGGAAATGTGGAAAGAAAACTATATATTCTGACTTTTATGTGGCTTCTCACAAGGCTTTTGCAGGAAGAAAAGAGAGGCATCTGTCTGTGACTATGATTTCAAATGCAGAAGTTGCGAGTGTAGCTTTAAGGAAGAGCCGTGGAATGTGGCAAGGGGATGCACAACCCAATGGACACAAAGCAAGGAGGGCAAAAGAAAGCCCTTATGTTTCAGGGTAAACACTTCCCCATTCCCTGCACTGGTCAAGCTGGAGGTCTCATTGCCCAGTAATGCATATTTTCCAAATGAGCTAATTCTTTAGGACGAATTTCAACCATGATTCAGTTCCATGATCAGTTTTAGAAATTTATCCCTATAGTCTACTCTGTGGAGGTTTATAAACATTTTAATTAGTAGTAACTTGTCTCATTTGATAAAGATATCAAATGAGATATCTTTATTATTGTTATAAAGATAGACAATAATTTTAATAAAACAAACTGAACACACAATTAGATTTATAATGACTGACCATTATTAAACATCTATTTCACCTTAAAAATGTGTCCATCTATTGCCACTAAAAAGTTGAGCAGGTAATTTCTAATCTTTTAAACTATAAATATAAGTAGAAATTTCTTAATACATATTTTTCTAGGGCTGGGAATATAACTCAGTGATAGAGAGTTTGACAAGCCTTTAGGAGGCCCTACATCCAATCTCTAGCATTGTATACATAGAACAAAACATGAATGTGTTTTTAAAGAAACAGAGAAGTAGGGGTAACTGTCAAACTGGTTTTCTGGAAAACATGTGCACCACTCTTGAATGTTTTAAGCAAAGATTCGTCATTGCTGTTTAGTGTGGTATCTTCTTTATCAAAACACACACTCCAACATCTGTTGTCAAGCATCTTATCAAACTGGTGCACGTGTAACCCAAAGGGAGGGAAAGGCCTGCGGCACTGGCCCCAGACTGGTGAGCAGCAACCACAGTACGTCCCACACAGTGGACCATTAACTTCCTGAAAAACGAAGGGAGGTTAGACATGACATCCATGAGCCCTCAGGACTTTGGAAATGGTTTGAGGTACAGGCACAAATGGGGGGGGGGTGCTGTGGGATTCCAGCATCCAAGCTTCACAACGGCACATATTACTGAGGAAGAGAGAATATGGCTGCCAGCAGCTGTGGGAAAAAAGAAGAGGAAGTTAATGGGAGCGAGTTCTCATCTGGAGGCATTAGGAGAATTTGAAAGATGGATTCTAGTGAGAAAGGTGCCTAACAGCCCCACGATGATTATGTACATAAAATAGTTACTGCAGTTGCAGAAATGAATTTAAGGAAGTTGCTCCCTGCTTTCCAGTGCCTAAAAAAAGCAAACTTAAAGTCTCACCTATCTTCGATATTGAGAGGTTGGAACACTGAAAAATGAGTCAGGCAGGGTTTGAGTTTTCAACAACGTGATGTCTTGAGAGCCATGGCCATGATTCCATACAGTTTCTGGAGCAAAAGGGTATCTGAGAACTGGACATGTGGGCAACTCATGAGCCGAGCAAAGAGAACACACTTTCAAAGTAACTTTCAAATGATAAAATGATCTCCAAAATATTTAACTTTCATGCAACCAACTAAAATGCTCAGGGACTTGCTCAGGGGCTGAGTGAGTCACGGGGCCTTTGTTCCAGCCATAGTTGTGATTTTACCTGAAAAGAAACACGGGAGGTAGCCCAGAAGGCACGGACTTTTTCAAGGCATTTGAGCTAGACAACGATCTTGAGAATGGATTAGTATTTACATCTTTGTAGGGTGGACATTTTAATTCAATAAGCTCAACCAATCTTGGTCAAAAGCAAGGCAAAGATTAAAATGAAAGTAAAGATTTAAAGTCTCTGGAGAGTGAAGCACGGATCATTGTTTTCTCTACAGCTGGGCAAACACTAGGGTCTCTGAGTTACCCACTACAGGGTGAGCTTGTGTGGTGCTGAAGAGGGAGGGGCTGACTGAGGACAAAATACTTAGGAAGAGTTCATGGAAGCATTCATTAGCATTACAGCTTCATACTTAGAAAACCCCCAGAAGTCCTCTGGTATCTGAAGTGTCAACCTCTGTAAACAGAACCAAGTGAACTCCCAGACCACAGCGAGTCTTGCTTCTGTCCACAGTCTGGCTTTCCTACATTTAGATCTAAGAGCAAATACCCTTTTGTTTGGTGAGACATTTATTATTCAGGGTTAGAGAAAATCATACGAACTTGGTTTTTCAATAAAGTTGGATGGGACTAGGGTGTGGTTTAGTCTGTAGAATTTTTATCTGCCATGCGCAGAGCTCTGTGTCCATTCCCCAGCATTACATAAACCAGACATGGTAACACATGCCTGCAATCTCAGCACTCAAGAGGAAGAGCCTGTAAGATCAGAGTTCCTAGGTCATTTTCTACTATTTAGAAAATTCAAAGCCAGCCTGGGATACATGACACCTTGTCTCAATAAATAAAAATTTTGATATATTAAATGTGTCACCTACATTAACAGTCCCTAAGTTATATATAACAGATATTTACTTAACTAAGACTTTATTATGCAAAGTATAATTAACATGAAAATATAAATTATGAATACACAAATAGTTCTCAACCGTTATGTGGCTACAATGTAATAAAAACTCAGGAGTTACTTGTAGCTTACAAAGAACGTTGATTCATTATTGAACTCACTGTTCTGATGGCGTGTGTCAGGTAAGCCTTGGAAATGAGGAAAGATTTATGTTAAGTTTAACTGTGCTGGAACATTTTGCTAGCATAGATGGATGTGAAGTGGGTTTCACCATTTCTCACAGGCAACTTTCTGGGCATGTGTAGTTCACACAGTGTCACAGATGATGAAACTCTCTTCCCTCCCTCCATTTGCAGTGATGCTCCTGTTGTAAATCACAGACATGGGGAATGCCACAGCCGGGTTCATTCTCCTCGGACTCTTTAACCACACCAGAGCTCACCTGGTTCTCTTTGTGCTGGTTCTGACTGTGGCCCTCAACTCCGTGGTAGGCAATGCCCTCCTGCTTCTCCTGATTCACCAGGACCGCCAGCTCCACACACCCATGTACTTTCTCCTCAGTCAGCTCTCTCTTATGGACATGATGCTGGTCTCCACCACAGTGCCCCAAATGGCAGCTGGTTATTTGACGGGCAAGAAGCCCATCTCCATGGCTGGCTGTGGCTTCCAGATCTTCTTCTTCCTCACACTGGGAGGTGGCGAGTGCTTCCTCTTAGCGGCCATGTCCTATGACCGCTACGTGGCTATATGCCACCCTCTGCGCTACCCCGTTCTCATGAGCTGGCAGTTATGTTCGAGACTGACCTTGGGATCTTGGCTCCTGGGTGCAGCTGATGGAGCCATGCAGGCTGCCGCCACAATGAGCTTCCAGTTTTGCAACCGGAACAAAATCGATCACTTCTTTTGTGAGGCCCCTGTGTTGTTGCACCTGGCTTGTGGTAACACATCTGCCTTTGAGTTTGTCATGTACATCTGCTGTGTGTTGATGCTTCTGGTCCCCTTCTCCCTCATCCTGACATCGTATGGCCTCATCTTGGCCACCGTCCTCAGAATGCGGTCCACAGAAGCCCGCAAGAAGGCCTTTGCCACTTGCTCCTCTCACTTGGCTGTAGTGGGCCTCTTCTATGGAGCTGCCATTTTCATCTACATGAGACCCACATCTTCCAGGTCGGCTAACCATGATAAGATTGTATCGGCATTCTACACTATTGCCACCCCCATGCTGAACCCCCTCATCTACAGCCTTAGGAACAGCGAGGTCAAGGGAAGCCTGAGAAAGTGTGTGGCTCGTTGTGCTGCCCTTACTAGTAGAGATACCTTGGTTTGCTTGGACTCTGGCAGCTGTACAAAGAGGAAGGACATCCAGTAGGCACCTTCATGGGGTTATGTGTCAGGATGCCCAGTGGATACCTGAAGCCACTGAGAATTGCAATCTCTGTTGTTGAGTTTCTTTTCCACCTTAACTCAACATTTCTATCCTGTGGTTGGAACTGGGGGGACCTGAGGAGTCTCTGCAAACCTATGACTATGTTGTTGTGTCCTTTCTCTCAATTTCATGGAAACCTTTCTTCTTATAGCTTCTGTAGTTTAACTTAATAAGCACCTTACAACTTGCCTTTTTGTTTGTTTGTTTGTTTTCGTTTTTTAAGACAGGGTTTATTCTGTTTAGCACTGGCTGTCTGGAACCTCACTATGTAGACCAAACTGGTCTGGAACCCATAGATCCTCCTGTCTCTGCTTCCCAAGCATTGGGATTAAAGTTGTGTGCCACCACCACCCAGCGAGCTTGTCTTTAATATAGCTAGATTTCAGTATCACAGCTTTTACATTTCGGGGAAATAAAGGTCATTAGAACTGAGGTGGATCCTATGTGGCGATGAATGGGTAGCATACATAGAGTGGATACGCTGGTCATAACTGGGTACCAGAACTGTAAGCCATCTCAACATGATACTCAGGAGGCAGCACTGTATTGAAAGAGTTAAAAATTCTGAAAGTTTTCATTATTTTTCAGATGACAATTGTCTGCAGGAAGCTATAAGTGTGGAAGGCAAAGCCACAAGTAAGGGGTGTGTGTGTGTGCATCTATGCCCATGACTCAGATATTTTTTGCTTTACTCAGAGGTTTTGGTAAATCTACATGCTGGGAGTTGAGTGTGGAGCTGCCTTCTCATTTCAAAATGAATTCTGAAAAAACTGAAAAATCACAAATTCTCAGTGAAGTTCTCATGCCTCTCCACACACAAATTTTTATGCCAGCAGGAAATGAAAGCAACCTTGAGTATTAACTGCCAGTTGGTTTCAAGTCTGGGGAACTGAAGCACAGTTTTCTAGCTTGGGGTACGCACAGCAAGCTTTATCTTCCAGACAATTCTATAGGGCTCTGCCTTTGTATCTATTACTAAGAGATGCAGAGTCCAAAGCTGGACAGAGGTCCCCTGAGCCCTTTTCTTTTTTTTTTAACTTTAGTTCTTTTGTTTATTTATTTATTTATTTATTTATTTATTAAAAATTTCCACCTCCTCCCATTTCCCTCCCACTCCCCCTCCCTCTCTAGTCCTAAGAGCAGTCAGGGTTCGCTGCACTGTGGGAAGTCCAAGGACCTCCCCACTCCATCCAGGTCTAGGAAGGTGAGCATCCAAACAAACTAGGCTCCCACAAAGCCAGTTCATGCGGTAGAATCAAAACCCAGTGCCATTGTTCTTGGCTTCTCAGTCAGCCCTCATTGACAGCCACATTCAGAGAGTCTGGTTTGATCACATGCTCCTTCAGTCCCAGTCCAGCTGGCTTTGATGAGCTCCCATTAGATCAGTCCCACCGTCTCAGTGGGTGACTTACTCCTTGCGGTCCTGACTTCCTTGCTCATGTTCTCCCTCCTTCTGCTCTTCATTTGAACCTTGGGAGCTCAGTCCAGTGCTCCAATGTGGGTCTCTGCCCCTGAGCCCTTTTCTAATCAAATATCTACCCACAAATTCAAGGCTAGATGGAATTCCATTTCCATTCCCATCCTATACTGTTTCATTGCTGGACACCAAATAGATTCAATTTTTATGTCTTTATGTATGTGTGTGTGTGTGTGTGTGTGTAATGTGTTTGTGAAGACTCTCTGCATTTTTAAGTATCCCCTAGCTGTTCTTTTAAATTGATAATAATACCCTAGTGTTTTAAAAACCACTACTTGTTCCCTACTTGTGATGGAAATGTGAATGACCTTCAAACTTTTATTACATTACATGTTTTCACTTCACTTGATAGATGGATGAGGAAGCTTTATCAAATTGTTTAGTTTAGCATTCCCACAAGCAGTTCACACTGGGTGCCGTTGCCCCAGCTTTATCAACGCTTTCCACTTAGGAAGTCTGGCAGTACGGCATCCTGCATCATGTGTGTGTGTTTTTGGTGGTTTCTGATGCTGAGTGTTTTTGTTCGGACTTACTGCCAGATTGGGTATCATCTTGAACTTCGTATCTCTGTCTTGGAAAATAAAAACAAAACATGCTGCTGCTTCCACAGCAAACAAGTTGTAATTCACTCAGATATTCCAAGGCGTGTTTGGAATTTTAGAATAAAGCTGTACATGACAATCTTTGCATTCAGTGTCTGGAATTTTTCACTTCGTGTGTACTTGGGGTTCCTTTTCAACCTCTTCCATTTTCCTCGAAGCAACAAACCTTGACAGTGGCCCCACAGACTGCTCCAGCCATACAACTGTCACCAACATGCAGAGGGACAAGTTTGGTCCTATGCTATGTCCTTCCCTGCCCAGCTGGAGTTGGTGAGCTCCCATTAGCTCAGGTAAGCTATTTCAGTGGGTGAACCCATCATGGTCTTGACCTCTTTGCTCATATTCTCATTCCTCCCACTCTTTAACTGGACTTTGGGAGCTCAGCCCAGTGCTTCAATGCAGGTCTCCGCCTCTCTTCCCATCAGTTGCTGGATGAAGGTTCTATGGTGATGTTTAAGATATTCATCAGTCTGACTACAGGGCAAGGCCAGTTCGAGCACCCTCTTTTCTATTGCTTAGGGTCTTAGCTGGTGTCATCCTTGTGAATTTCTGGGAAATTCTCTAGTTCCGGGTTTCTTGTTCGTCCCATAATGGTTCCCTCAATCTAAATATCTCTCTCCTTGCTCTCATGTTTGTCTTTCCTCCATTTCAACTATCCCATTCCCTCAAGTTTTTCTCCCCCTCCCCTTCTCCCTTTGTCTTCCCCGTCCGTCCTCCCTACTCCTCCCACCCCCATTTAGATAATGCTTTAGAAAAAACATCTGAAGTCCTTCTCCACATTATTTTCTTTTCTCTAACAGTATAAATGTTGCCCTGCACATCTCACATAATATCCCAGGCAGAGTCTAAGGAAGAGGGACTAAAAGGTATGATGCAATCCAGGTCTGCAGATCCTGCAGTGCTTCTGGAGATGCCCCAAATATGATGCAGTTCAACCTATCTGTGGTGTTAATTCAGTGGTTCATGTTACACAGGTGCACATTGATCAAATGATAGCCCCAGAAAGGGTTTAGTTTCTACATTATCTTTAGGACACATTCAGTAGGTTGGTGTGACCTTAGCTTGGATGGAATAGGACCTTTTACACTTGTCATAAAATAATAAACTTACAATCATCATAATCATTCATTCAGCACTTCCTTCTGAACTGCATTTGTTCATTTTGACTGTGCTTTCTCCCTTCACTGATGACCACATGCTTAGCCAGGTTTGATGGTAATCATCACTATGAAAATAAAAAGTTTATTAGAGCAAAGTGCATTGAGTTTTTTCCCCTTTCTTTTTGTTATTGTCTGTTTCTTATTTTGTCTTGTTGCTTGTCGTTGTTTTGAATTTGAACCGGTTTGCCTGCCCCTGCCTGTCGAGTGCTAAACACCACTGTGGAGAGATACCAAGTGTTCTGGGATGCTCTGCAGAGCCTGCCCTGGACTGAAGCAGGAAGCACACACGGATAAACATCTCTGCTGCATATTAGGCAGAAGGTGAGCCATCTTGGCAACCCCTTTTCCCCCTCAACTCCTTTTTTATTGTGCAGCAGAGGTCTTTAGGTAGAACCTCTTTCATTAATTTTAGATTCCCATTTGTTCATCAATATCATATCCTCTTCCACTCCAGGCCTCAGGAGATGGAGGCAGATAGATCTCTGTGAATTCAAGACCCACCTAGCCTATGTAAGTTCCAGTCCAACCATAGCTACATAGTTTGACTCCATCTCAAAATAATAATTAATAATAAGTCTAAGAAAGCTTCATCATATGCTATTGGGGAAGGCTGCTTGTTCATTTTCTGGTCACGCGGACTCCTGAAAAATTCACACAGAAATTGTATTAATTGCAATACTGTTTGGCCAATAGTTTAAGTGTATTTATAGCTAACTCACTTCTTTAATTAACCAAATTCTATTAATCTGTGTATCGCCACGTGGCTGTGGCTTACCATCAAGGTCATAGTGGGCTCCTGTGGAGATATCCATCTTCTGCAGGCAGCTCCATGGCTTCTCTTTAACTCTACCTACTCTCTCCTCATCATCTGTTTGGGATCCCTAGCTTGCCGTATTGTGCTAAGGCACTGGCTGAATATTTTTCCATCAATGTTCATGAGGAAGATTGGTCTGTAATTCTCTTTGTTTCATCTTTGTGTGGTTTGGGTATCAGGGTAACTGTAGCCTCATAAAAAGAGTTTGGGAATGTTCCTTCTGTTTCTATTGTGTGAAACAATTTGAGGAGTATTTATATTAGCTCTTCTTTGAAAATGTGATAGAATTCTGCATTGAAATCATCTGACCCTGGACTTTTTTTGTTGGGAGACTTTTAACATTTGCTTCTATTTCCTTTGTGATTATAGGTCCATATAAATTGTTTATCAGGCCTTGATTTAATTTTGGTATGTGGTACCTATCAAGAAAATTGTTCATTCCTTTTGGTTTTTGAAGTATGACCTAAAGATTTGGATTTCCTCAGTGATCAATGATGATATGTCCCCTTTTCATTTCTGATTTTGTTAATTTGGATATTCTCTGTCTTTTGGTTAGTTTGAATAAGGGTTTATCTAGCTTGACTTTCTCAAAGAACCAATTCTTTGTTTCACTGATTCTTTGTTTCTATTTTGCTAATTTCAGCCCTGAGTTTGATTATTTCCTACTGTCTATTCCTCCTGGGTGGTCTACTTCTTTTTATTCTAGAGCTTTCAGCTGTGCTATGAAGTCACGAGTGTGAGATTTTTCCAAATTCTTTATGTGGGCACTTAGTGCTATGAACTTTTATATTAACACTGTTTTCATAGTGTCCCATTCTTCCTTAATTCTTCCTTGACCCAGTGACAATTCAGTTGAGAGCTGTTCATTTTCCATGAGATTGTAGGATTTCTGTATTTTGTGCTGTTGTTGAATTCTAGCTTTAACCCATGGTGATCAAATAAGATACAAGGGGTTATTCCATTTTTTTGTCTCTATGGAGATTTGCTTTATGATCACATATGTGGTTGATGTTAGAGAAGATTCGATGAGGTAGGTGTCAAGAAGAAGGTATATTCTTTTGTGTTTGGGTGAATGCAATGCTCTGTAGATGTCTGTTAAGTTCATTTGAGTCATAACTTCTGTTAGTTCCCTTATCTTTCTCTTAAATTACTGTCTGACAGACCTGTCCATTGGAGAGAGTGGGGTGTTGATGTCTTCCACAATTAATCAGTGGTGTTTGCTGTGTGATTTAAGCTTTAGTAATGTTTCTTTTACAAATATGGGTGCCCTTATATTTGGGGCATAAATGTTCAGAATTAAGACTTCATTTTGTGAGCCAGAGACATCTTTGGTATCAGACGCAAGTCAGGGACCTCTGAGAGAATAGGCCCAAGCCAGGGACCTCTGTGGGAACAGGCCTGATCCAGCGACCTCCACTGGAACAGGCCTGAGTCAGCTACCTCAGCCAGAGCAGGCCTGAGGTAGCAACCTCCATAGGAACAGGATTGAGCCAGTAACCTCTGTAGGAGCAGGCTCGAGGCAACAACCTCCACAAGACCAGGCCCATGCCAGTAACCTCTGCCAGAGCAGGCCTGAGGCAGCAACTTCCATAGGAACAGGTACAAGGGAGCAACCACTGAGGGCACAGGCCTGAACCAAAGACCTCTGTGGGACTGGGCATGAGTCAGAGACCTCTGAGCAAACAGGCCTGAGACAGGGGTATATAACTGTTACAGTTATATAACCAAATATAACTGAAGCAGAAGTAAATGACCTAAAAAAATAACTTTAGGAGAATGTTTGAGGTTCTTGAAGATGAAATGAAAAATTCCCCCAAAGAAATGAAGGAAAAGACAAACAAAAAATTAGAAGAAATCAACAAATCCCTTAAAGAAAACCAAGAAAAAGCAAGCAAACATATGAAAAAGATATGAAAACCAAAATAGAGACAATAAAGAAAACACAAACTGAGGGAATTATAGAAATGTAAATTATGAGAAAATAATCAGGAACCACAAATGCAAGCATAAA